AGAGTATAATACCTCAAGTTCCAAATCAAGGTGTATTAGAATAATCAAACTGCAATCTAAGGAATACAATGGTGGTTACAGTGTTCCTGTTCTGCAAAAATGTGGTGTTCTATAAAAGTAACTTTTAAAGCAAAGTACTTGTGGGATTGCCACTAAAACCAATTCCACACAGTAAGGAGGGGCAACATTCAGAGACTTGAACAATCCAGCATCCTCCTCCTGCCCCACAAGCTTACCACTAGTCCTCAGGCGTTCCCCTCGGTGAGAGTTTTCCATTTCCTCCACAAACTGTTCAAAGACTTTCACATATGGAGCAAGGCTGGTCTTCCTGTAATCTGTAGAAAGGAATTGAGGGGAGGGGAGTAGGTTTCATTGTTATTTTAAACTGTAAACATTTTTAGCCCTCAAGCAAGCTTGCACAATAAAATCTGATACAATAATAGACATTAAGCACTCAAACAAGCCAGTTATAATATAACTAGTCTAGAAAATATGGGGGAGAAAGCAATACGTAATAATAGCAAAGTACTTCCAGCAGTTCAAAAAATACATACACAAAAGCTGAAGAAAATAAATGCATATTTAGGGCTTTCCTGAAGTGTTTGGTGTTTGCTGCATCCTTTATACAGGATGGGTCATAAGTCATGGGGAGAAAGGAAGCATAGAAATATTTTAAATAAATAAACAAATAACAGGCATTTCTTTTATCCACAGAAGTCTGAAGAAAGAACCGGAATTACTGAGTTGTGAGCTTATGAACCATTGTGTTTAAGGCATATCTACATTTGCTGCTATTCCTGCGAAAGTATTCTGAGAAATAGCTGGAGCATCCTGAGGTTGCTCTGGGATGCTCCCCCTCCTCCCCACCCCCAAAAAGAACCTCTCATTAAAAAAGGAAAGAAAAGAAACAGGAAAGGCAGGAAAATTTAAAAGGATGTCTTTCTCTACAGTGAAGGAAAGTGGGCATAGTGCCCTTTCAGAGGTGACAGAACTGCAACCTCCAGCCTTCCCTGGTAGGGAACAACAAAGAAGAGCACTGTAAATTGGGAGGTTTCCAGAGCTGCCTCCTCCACGTCGCTCACCTTTGCTTCTACGAGTGCATTCTACCTCCGCTTCGTTTTCCTTTTCATCCCCTTCACCATTCCTAATTGTGTCCAGCTCGTGACAGAGGCGGCTACAGAACATAAACATGACAACAATACTAAGAACTCCTAAAGCACACCCAGACACCATTCTTTGCCCGTGAGCTACAGCGCTCATGTACTCTTTTTATTCCGGCATTGTATGTGTTCAGAATTTGCGCAGTCTTTGAAAGTGGCAGTAGCAGCAGAGAGAGAAGCAGAGGGAGTGCCGGGGACCTCTTCTGAGCAAATGAATTGCGGGGGGGGGGGGGGAGAGAAGAGTCTGTCCCCCTCATAGGCATCTGCTTCATCTCTGATGGCAGGAGCACTGGAGCAGAGCTTGTGAGGATCACAGAATTCAGCAGTCCCAGGCATTACAGCCAAAGATCATGGAAACGGCACTCCAGTGGCACCTGAAGGACCACTGTTGCCTCTGCGTAATGGAATTGAATGACCAGCTCCCAATGCCAGCTTCAAAAGTAGCAAAGTGTGGTCCAATTTCCTTACCAAGGAACTCCGGTGATACTGCCCAAAACCAGCTAATTCATACCTGATTGTGGGAACAGCAAATGGATCAAATTCATCCAGTTTCTTCAAGTCAATTGGAACTGAAATACGCCCTGAAAGAGGCAAGAATCAGCATCATTAGAGGTCCCCTTCACATATTATTCATCCAAAGGGGCAAACCCACAGCCTTTGCCACCCACTTGTGGGCGTGGATGATTAGAACAAGTATGTGGCATGGATTCCGGCACCCTGGTCACATCAATCTCTAGAACGTTGGACAGTCTTTGCAAATAAAATCATCAGGTGACCAACCTGTTTTGGGGTGAACACTGAAAGGGCTCTTCAGTAAATGGTTGATTCCTTTGCTGACGTTGATATCCAGCCGGGGAAAACAGTACTGTAGCATGATCTCTGGCTCTGTTTTCTGTTGTGACTTGGAAGAAGATGAAAATATTGGAAAAGATGAACATCAGGAGTGTTACAAACATCTCTTCTGCGCATGTGCAGCACAGCTTCATGCAGGGAGGTTACTGTTCTATAAAAAAACTGCTAGGCTATCAAGAGTGTTCACGAGCATGCTCTGCAACTCACCCCTTCACGCATGCGCACGAGTGCCTGTGTGAAGGGGGGGCGGGCGCGTGTGCAGGCGCCTCTGCGCATGCACGAAGGGGTGAGGGAGCGCTCACGTCGGTGCTAGCGAGTGGGTGCTCCCCCACTGCTTCGCCCATGCGGCCGAAAGCGCACGCACGCACCTGCTGGGACACCCCTGCCTTCTTTGGAGGCTCAGCCAGTCCACGGTCCCAAAAAGGTTGGGGACCGCTGTTCTAGAAGCTCTGGATGACAAATTCTGTAACCCTGCCTCCACTCCCCAAGTCGGCTGGGAGATTATTTACTGCGTTTATATACTGCCCACCTAGTGGCAAGTCATTACTCTGAGTGGTTTACAAAGTCAGACACATATCCACATCTAATTCAGCAATAACAAAATCAAAACCAAACGTACACATAATATAACATAATCCCTTGGATGGTGACAGCTAAATCAAATAAAATTCCATAGGATGGGTTGAGAAATCTCTCACATGAGAAGGATATTCCTGAATGCCTATTTCAATAACTCAATTTTAACCTGCTTCCTGAAGGACAGAAGGGAGGGAGCTTGGAGCACCTCAACAGGCAGCACTTTCCACACTGTGGCGGCCATCACCAAAAAGGCCCTGTTCCTGGTGGTTGTTTTCTGGGCCTTCTTTGGGGTGGCCACCCACAGCAATGAAGGCTGAGAGGAAAGAGTGGTCTGGGAGAAGATGTAAGGGAGAGGTGCTCTGACCGAGGTCGCAAACCACTTACAGCCTTGTAAGTTAGAATTAGCACTTTGAATTTGACATGGAAGCAGACAGGGAGCCAAGGTAAACTTTCCAGAATTTTGGAGAAATGGCAATGTCTGGAAGTAACCGAGATCAACATTTCGCATTTTGAGTGACGGATTTTTTTAGTCCAAACACAACTGCAGAGCATCCAGTTAGAGAACACTCAGTTAGTTTCAAGAATCTGTTCAATAAGCGATGCTTTTGTTAAGGGATCCATTAAGATGGTCCTCCAGTGGCGCACGGACTATTTAATTTTTTAAAAGAAAAACCTACATAACTCTTCAACAAAAAAATAAGATAAACAAGAATAAGCTTCCTTTAAAAACCAGTTGGAATAGGGGAAGCAACCTTAAAACAGATTAATGGAAATAGTGCTACAACCCGGTCAGATGTTAGAAACTTTAAGATAAAAATATCTTCCTCATCATAACTTTGTACGCACCAACATCTCCAGACTGCCACTCTCTCTACAGAGTACTCAGGGTGGTCAGATCCAGAAAGAGAGGTCCACATGTGGTCCCCTTCCAGCTGAAGGACCACAGAGTTGGCTTTCCAACTAAGAGATCACAGAACCCTGGGCCTTACTGCAGCCTGGCCTTAATTAACACACAAGCGAGCGAGCCCTCAAGGATGTGTCATATTGTTCTTCCCAGTTACCTCTGTAGCAATGATTAATTGTGATCAGTTTCAAACCCAGCCATCAATTCCTACCCTTGGCCAGGAAGTTGGTATCTTGTGCTTTGCTGTTTATGATCCTGCAGCAGAGGCAACCACAAGATTTGGGCGACTCACCTTTTTTGCCTCGTATTTTTCCAACTTTTGTTTCAAAATTTTCCAGCGCTGGACTGAATCAAGGTTTTTCTTAGAAAATTCTGACAGAAGATCAGCTCTAACGGGTGGATGAATCATTAAGGAATTTCATAATTGGCCCAAAACACTGTCGTCCCCCAGGCAGAAAATGGCACACCCCCCACTGCCAAAGACGAGCAACACAGGGGCATTGCTCTCAATGGTTTCACAGAAGTTTCTCTGTGTTATGGCTTCTGCCCCATAGATCGGATATGTCTCTCCCTCTCAGAAGATATGTACTGTCTCCTGATTGTTGTAAGCCACCCTGGGTCCTTTTTAAAGAAAAAAGCAGGTTAAAAATAGTTTAAATAAAAAAAATAAATAAAATACTCATGATCTACCTCTTGCTTTCTCACATACGGCAGCATTATTTCTCTGGAATTTATAAAGGTGAAATTGATCACTGACCGATCTGCCAAGACAAAGGCACTGATATTTTAGATGTCAGAGACACAACTCCATCCTCCTTTTTTTGTAGCAGGTTAAGTCTGTTTAGAACTAGCACTACAATCTCTCAGAAAACATAGCAATGCCAGAGGTCATACTGACTTCTTTGTAAGGATTAAAGCTTAACCCACAAAAGTGGGAGGGCAGAATAAAATGGGAAGGAAGTATTCTGAAGGGTTAGAATTCCCCGTGTCATACTCTCTAGTGCACTGCTCTGGAAAGAGGAGGAGAGAAATCTCTGTGAGAAAGTTAATCCTACTTATCAGGCTTAAGCCTAGGAGGGCAGGCCTTGAAGTTGTCTTCTAGACTTGCTAGGATTCATCTCCCCCCAATTTTTCCACATAGCTTCAATGCAGGAATACTAAGCCTTCAAGCAGGAGTTGCAAGCCTTCTTATAACATATGGCCAGCTGCGATTTCTGGGCACCTTAACTAGTAATCTGTAATGTCTTACTAGACATGGAAAACTATTTTCCCAGAACAGCCCTCAGGGTTTTTTTAGACCTCCCAAAAGGATATGCTCTGGAACCAGCGCCAACACTTTTTCGTATCTCTCCTTAGTTCCAAGTATGTCTTGACCAATCAGGGCATACTCCTCAAAGTAATTCTTCACCACGTCTATTGATTTTCTAGCACACAAGAGGAGGATATCAGAGGTGGGCTTCTGAACTTTTAATATTTCTCAGGGGGAAAAAAGGGGGAAATTTTAGTCGATGCCGCTTGTTGTGCAAAGTGGAGAAACTGAAACACACTCATTCATTTTTTGTTTGCTCCAGCCCGGAACCAGTGAAATATCTACAGCTGCAGAAAATGCAAAATACAGCGGCATAGTTTTGCTGAAATGCCACATCAAACTATCCCAAAACACCACAAACACTACCAGCAGGAAACTGGGAGAAGAGTGGGCCTTTCTACTATGCACAAGCATGCCGTGAACCAACACACAAAGATTTTCAGTTTCCTGCAGACAAGTCTCTCAAAGCACAATTGCAGACTGAAGTACACAACAAAGTATCTTATCCTATTACCACTCTAAGGGAAGAACACTAATCCGATCACACCCTGTTTTTTATTTAAAAACTGGAGGTTGAAACCCTGAGTGTTTTTCCAACTTAGTTATTCAGCAGGAGAAGGAATATATTTAAACTAAGTCTGAACTGCCCTCAGGGTTTCAGCCTCCAGTTTTGGGGTGTTGGGAGCAGCCAGGGAGATCTCCTGTGCTTTAAAGCCTCCCCATCCAGCCTGGGCCCTGCCAGCAATTTCACCTGGAAACAGAAGCTCAGTGTGGAAAAGCCTTCTGAGGAGGGAACCTTGCCTTCTAGCCTCACTGACAGCTGTCTCTATAGCTCCTACTCCTGCTTGTATTCTCTGTCAGATACTCCCAAGGTTAATACGAGTTGAAGCCATACTCTTTTATGCCATAGCAATTCTCAGTGCAACTTAAAAGAACATTTAATATGTTAAACGTGGTTAAGCCAGTACCACGGCTGACATTCAGGATGGGCCACCTCACCACGCACATCAGCAATTCCCAAACTTTTCCCTCTCACACCCTCTTTCTGAATTCTGAGAAACCCTCGCATCTCTCCACCTCTCCTTTCCCATATTCAAACATAAATATTTAGTAAAACTTTTATTAAAAATAAGCACAAGCAATTTATCTTGTAATTAAAAGTTAATCCCCTATTTGGAACTTCTCCATGTCCATTCTTCCAGGGGGTGCCCCCCCACACCCAGTTTGAGAACCAAATCTGTACAAGCATAAGCCACACAGTCTCTAGTTATCCCAATGACTGACCTGATGAAAGGGTGAATGTTGTCTGGGAGGGTCACCTTCTTGACCATCTCTTCGCCACCCTACCAAATGTTAAGAATAAGAAATGTGAGTCTAGGTTTATTGCCCCCCCACGTCTGGAAATAGAAATATAACAAATAAAGGCCCAGGATGGGTTGGAACAAATAACCATAATGACCCAGTCATTTACCAAGGGGCTCCTGCTTCTTTAATAGTAGTAAAAAGAGAGTTTTCAAAAGTGCAACTTTCTCCATTTCTACGTAACAAGCCTCCCCTTATCCCAGAACCTCTCTTCTTGGTCACTCTCATAAAGTACAGAGCTGCATTTCATTTAAAGGTAGTTCCAGACATGAAACAAAAAGCACCATTTGACTGGAAAGGTAAAAACAAAAAGATCTCTAATAACTCTGAGTCAAGCCTGATTATAACTCAGCTTAGCAAAAAGAAAAGCAACCTAGGCAGAGTTGTATCTTTTCACTAGGTGCTGGAGAACTCTCCGATAGGCAAACAACACTATTTTCTATCTCAAAGTAATACAGAACACACTCAGTTGTTTGCACACATCGGCCCTGTGGACACAACCTGCCACAAAGCAGCTGCGGCAAATCCTTGTTGCTTCTCTCTGAAAGCTGCAACATTTTCAACCAACGTGATCCTCACCAGGGTGTAATAAACACAAAGAGAAAACCCCCTGCTCCAGCGTCCTGTTTCTATGTACAATGCATTAGCTTCCTCTGGCTTTGCCTCTCCTGCAAAAGGTTGCAGAGGAGGAAAAGAAGGGAAGCAGAGATGGCTCTGCTAAGAGACTAGACATTTTGCTCTTTGAACTCGTTTTCCACTGCCAGCTAGTCAGGATAAGGAAAACCAGCCATATCCAGCTTTCTCATGTCTGCCCATCATAAAAACCTTTAATATTAAAGAGTAGCACTCAGTCTTTCCTGCTTTCCTTTTTCTTCCCTTCCCTTTGTCTTCTCGTGTCATGATAAAATTCGCTTCTTTCCTAAATGCACTTGTACCTTCACCACAGTGAGATATTCAATGGCTGCGGAGCGGAGCGCTGAAGACCACTTCCGGACAGAATCATCACACACCCAGCAATGCACACCTCTGCGTCCCGAATATACCCAAAGACGATGCTTGAGACCAAAGTCCTCTGGAGGTGCAGAAAGAAGGTTAGAAAGCAGAGAGTGATCACACAGCTTTGGCTACAATAAAACAAACCAAATACAAGGTCACCCCATTCCACAGAGTTTTACTGCACAATCCTAATGACAACCCTGCAAGGTACGACAACCGTCTCATTCACAATTGTAGATTCCAGACGGGAATGGGGAGCACAAGTTGGCTTGCCTAAGCCTACGTAGTTTGCTAATATGATATGTCAACGAGCAGTTTCCTGGTGCAGTGGTCAGAACGTTTTGCCGGAACACCACCAGAGTTCCTTCATGGTGAATTTCTAATATCAATAACATCCATCAGTACTCAAACAATACCAAGAAATGCAGCAATATAAAGCAGGTAAATGTTCTCCCCTATACTGACAAGGAACACAACAACCGATGAGAGTAAGTAGTGCTATCCCACTACAGAAAAGGGCTGAGAATGCATAATCCCAATAGTATAGCAACAGAGTTCAAAGAACTGCTATGGAAAACATGGGGTAAAAGCCCCAGATAACTATGGTAGGAAGGTTGCAAAAATAAGTTGGGCACACAGCTAACGGACTAGAGGTTAAGGGAGCGGCCCACATTGGAAAGTGCATGGCCATATCTCAGTCCTTTACCCAAAATTTTACCAGGATACCTGAGCTCCATGCACCTCCCTGCCACCGATGCAGCCTGCAAACTCTCCTCCACCACCGGAAAAACAAAACTAAATAAAAAATGCTTTGGTTTTTTTGGTTGATTGGTTGGTTTCAAAAATGGGAGGCTCCTGGAAAACTCCTACTCAGATTACTATTCTCTTCAATAAAAAAAAACAAAAAAAAACAAACCCAAAGATGAAGCTGAAGCAGCCAGCAGTGAATCTCTCCCTGGGGCACAACCGGTCAGTTGAGTTGCCAGAGTTGGTCCCCTCCACTGTTGGCTAAAAGCACCCTGGGTCAAGGCCCGGTCTTTTCCTCTCCTCCTTCTTACGATTCCCTGCTTCAAGTGCCACAAAAAGAAATGCTACTGGAGAAATGAATAAAAATACTGTACTTTTCTTTGGGAGACAGACAAGTTCTGACTTTGGTAAATCTCCACAGGAAGGACATTGCAAACAGGCGGTTCCAGCAAAAGTGACTGCTTGGCGACGAGTCCCTTACCCACAAGCGCCCGGTCAATGATGCGAATGGCCATGCTCATCAGAGTCCAGCACCTGGAGCAGATCTCAGCAGAGCTGTGGAAAGAGAAAGCATTAACCCCCATCCATCCCTGCAAGATTTATGTCTTTAAAGAGGATTTCTATTCCATCTACCCACCATGATACTATATTAAAAATCACAGGAAAAGAAAAGCAGTGCCTTAAAAATAACAAAACAACGATCTTGCAGCAGCACACCTGGCAAAGTGGAAGCCAGCAGAAAGGAAACGATGCTCCTGCCTGTCTGTCTATTTAATTTTTTACCCCACCCGTCAAGTAGCCAGGCCACTAATCTGGGTGTTTTACAATATCATGACATGGACATAAAATAAAATTCATTTATAATCAAATTAAAACATCACATAACGCCCCCCAATCTATACTAACTATATTTATTTATTTGTTTGTTTATTTATTTATTCAACTTATATGCCACCCACTCTACCCAAAGGTCTCTGGGCGGCTCACAATTAAAATACAATAAAAGATAAAATGATTAAAACTCAATTAAAATGCAATCTAAAAATTGCCATCAGGACCCACAGCTGATGTTATTTCATTTAAAAACCTTCTGGAATAGGAAGGTTATGACCTGGTGCCAAAATGTCATCAGCATCGGTGCCAGACGAATCTCAGTCGGGAGGGCGTTCCATAGTCTGGGGGCAGCTGCCGAAAAGGCCTTTTCTCTACAAGCCTTCCCTCTTACCTCCTTGAGAGATGGCTCTTTCAAAAAGGCCCCCTGGCTAGATCTTAATTATATGGAAGTAAGTAATACAAAAGACAGCAGCGGAACAGAAAAACTACATGTAGCAAAACAAACATTTTTCAGCGTGTATTTCTTTATAAAGAAATATATTTTTGGACCTCAACTCTGAGAAGCCAGCATAAGAGTGGCCATCTCTGGCTGAACAAGAGAAACTGGACGCCAAACAGGTACAAGGCCATCAAACTAAACTGTCTGACTAAAAAGTTCAGAATGGATTTACTTTTCATAGAATACCTAACTAAGCTGCAGTCCTAAATACACTTGCTGAGGAGCAGGTCATCTTAAACTTAGTGGGGCTTGCTTCTGAAAATAGATGCACAGAGCTATGTTACAGTTTATCTGATTCATGCTGCAATCTTATAACACTGACTTCAGAGTAAATGTCAGTAGACAGAGCAAAATGCATTTCCAAATAAGCATCCGTAAATTCATGCCACAAATGACCAACAGATTTCTTGCACAAGGATTAGATAAATTAATAAAAGATAGGTTCACCAGTGCTACTTGCTGCAATATTATGGTTTTCTGGAATTAAAAAACAATACTTGAATTATCTGGATGCTAAACAGCAGAACTGTGGCCTTGAGACTTGAAAAGAATAGAGAAATAGTAGCTAGGAACATAACTCTTCTCTTCAGATCCAGGGAATAAAACAGAGTAACTTTTATTATTTTTCATGCACACTGTCAGACAGTAGGTTGAAAGATCTCCGCTTTCGCAAAGATCAGCAACACCAATATTCTAAGCTGTAAAATGACTAGCTATTTGGATCGCAAACAATTCTTCAGGAAGCAATATGCCACACACATTTACCTATGAAGAAACTCTACCATGAACTTTCAGCAAGTCCTACTAAAACTCAGTGAGATTTACTTTCAAGTAAACACAGAGAGCATTGCACTGTCTCATTCCCATTTGGTTTACTATTGAGGTTCAAACACTGCTCATGCAAAGCAAGATAATTAAAGTAAAAAAATAAGATTCTAGTCCTTAATTGTTGCAAGTACCCAAAGAGGGAAAAAAAGCAAGAGCACAAGAGAAGATGGTGCATTGTGAAGGTTACAAAGAAGTGCTGAGCAGGATTCAGGGATGACTGGAGCAATCATCAATATATTCAAAGTTCCAAATATAATATCCCCATTGCTCAATGCCTGCTGAACTGGCTAATTAAACCAAATCACCTTCCCCAAAGGGAAATATAATACAGTACCTGCAGCAGTATCGAACATCATCGTAATCCGTCATGTCAATGTCAAATACCAGCTCCTTCTCTTGGGCCTGGAAAGCACCCATGTGGACTGTATTGTGCTGGATGGGCTGCACAGGAGAAAAACAGAAGAGATATAGCTAAAACTTTGCATCTGCTTAAATTTTTTAGAGCATCACTTCATTACCTAATAGTGAGCCAATCTGGTCTGTTGCAACTGTTCTGCTAAAATAACGAGATGTTATATTTGGAGCATCAATGAACCAAGTAATTTACAGCAAGTCAGACGGTGAACCCAGGAGGGTTCATGAATTTCCCATGTTAGTTGAAAAGAGGTAAGTTACGGATCAGTGGAAACAAACATCCAAATTGTTCTAATGTTAATCACTGGTTGGCACTACACTTTTGTATTTCTTCAAATATTGGAGTTTCCCAAGCTTCACTGCCTTTCCCTCTTCTAATAAGTTCAAAAATAAGAGTAATTATTTACATGAAAAAGTGTATGATAGCAGGACAGAAATCAAATATATCTCTGCTTGAAGACAGTGAGGCATGAAGGAACAGGCTTTGGAACAACAGAGAGAAGTGGGGTATTTATTCATCTAATAATCTGCGTTTCTCTCAATAACGGGACCCAAGATGGCTCAAAAGATCCTCAAAACTGAGACAATGGAACAAGTTAAAGTGACATTTCCATTCCTGTGAGTTTTTAAAATATTATTATGTTCCTGAACAGCAAATTTTCTCACTTTTAAGAAGAGGACAGAGAATAAATGTTTCAGTAATAATTTCCAGGCAAAAATATGCATATTATTTCACAGTGCAGCCTTCTGTTTCATACCTTGTGTGAATATACGGCTCCAATATCAATTTTGTAAGGGCAAATTTTCAAGATCTCCTTCTCCAGTTCTTGGGGCGTGTTGAAAGACTGGTATCGGACATATATATCATCACGGAGTGTAAATGAGAACTCTCGCCGCTGAAAGTAGTTCTTGGGCACTATGGAAGCAAACAAAAGATCCTGTCTTAGTTATAGGGCCCAGCAAAACACCCAAGATGTTGTTGCTTCAAAACCTCAAGTTTCCCAAAACCTCACAAAACACCAGTAGGAAAGACACTGAGGAATAACATTGGCCTACCTTGCAAGGCTGTTATAAGGGTATAGGTGAAGCCGAACATTCTAAAAGCACTACGTTCGTTCCCTAGTTAAAAATAATTAGATAATGGAAACAGCAGAGGTTGCACCCCAAAAAGAGAAAGGGAGCTGAGGAACAATGTTCTCCTGGCTCCCCCTTTCTCTCAATGACTTCCACCCCAGCTAGTTTTTAGAAGAATCTGAAATCTCAGGGAGGTACGGGAACCTTCTTCCCCTACAGTTGTCTTGGCTTACAAGTCCCATCAGCCCCAGCTAGTAAGGGATTATTGGGTATTGTACTCCAAAAACGTGAAGAGGGCCACAGCATCCCCGCCCCAGAGACTGATTATTTATTTGCTACTCCTTGCTTTCTTCAATGAGCCCAAGGTGCCAGGTATGGTTTTCGTTACCTCTCTGCTCCTCGTTACAAAGCTCAGTCCGCCGCCCACCCGAAATTACAAACAACGTCGCGCGTTCCTTTTCGGCTCCAGGCATGGAATGCCAAAAAACAAAACAAAACACCCACCCACCGCTACTCCTCACCATCGCCATAGCGCAGCCACCGCCCATACAGGCCGAAAGGGAAAAGGCGGCGGTAATAAAGGGGCAGCAGGTCCGGCAAAGCACCAGGGTCGAAATCTGCCATTTCCCAAAGCGGGCAGAGAGCGCGGGAGAATTCAGGGCTCCCCTCTTGACGCTTGAAGAACCAATCCGAAGGACTCTGATGACGCAAAGGGTTGTGGGAAATGTAGTCTCGGGGAGAAGCGTAGCGGGAGCTTCAGCGGCTGGAAAGTAACGTCTGGGATCTTGCTGGGGGGGGGGCGGCTTGTTGTTATTTCTTTTCCTGCCGATACACAGATAATTCACCTTGGTTGCCTAGTTAACTACAGGGGGAAAAACTAGCACAGCAGTGGTTTCTTCATGGAACTCAGAAACCAGAAAAGTGCAGCGTTCTATTTTTGGACAATGATGGTCACGGTGTAAATTTGTGTGTGCCCTAAATGTTGCTCTCCATGTGTCTGAGGAAGTTGCTTGTAAGCCAAGGAAGCTCACCTTGCGATAACTCTGTTCTTCTTAAAAGTGCCACAGGACCGTGTATTCAGTTGTTTTGTTTTTGTGGGAGATGTTGAAACAAGCTTAACACTGTTAGGTAAAGGTTCCCCTTGACATTTACTGTATTCCAGTTGTGTCCGACTCTAGGGCGCGGTGCTCTGGGCAAAGTGACTGCAAGCAGAACGCGTCCTGGAAGCTTTCTTCTAGAGAGGAGTCTGCTGTGCTAACCTCACCACTTGTACATAGGTAAGAAGGGGAGATGGTGATAATGAATATTGTCCTTAAATTTGTTTTGCCTTACTCTAAGGCGGAACAGACTTAAATTAGAGGTTTTTGCAGCTCATTAGTAGGTCAGCGTGTTACTGTTAATTTGTATTGTAGGAAATTTATTTATTTATTTCATATACTTGTGTAAAGGTAAAGGTTCCCCTTGGCATTTAGTCCAGTCGTGACCAACTCTAGGGCGCGGTGCTCATCCCCATTTCCAAGTCATAGAGACAGCGTTTGTCCAAAGACAGTTTCCGTGGTTACGTGGCATGGAATGCCATTATCTTCCCACCGAGGTGGTACCTATTTATCTACTCACATTTTTACATGCTTTCGAACTGCTAGGTTGGCAGGAGCTGGGACAAGTGACGGGAGTTCACTCCGTTGCGTGGATTCGATCTCACGACTGCTTGGTCTTCTGACCTTGCAGCACAGAGGCTTCTGTGGTTTAATCCGCAACGCCACCACGTCCTCAAATTATTGTTATTGTTGTTGTTTAGTCATTTAGTCGTGTCCGACTCTTCATGACCCCATGGACCAGAGCACGCCAGGCCGTCCTGTCTTCCACTGCCTCCCGGAGCTGGGTCAAATTCATGTTGGTCACTTCAATGACACTGTCCAACCATCTCATCCTCTGTCGTCCCCTTCTCCTCTTGCCCTCACACTTTCCTAACATCAGGGTCTTTTCCAGGGAGTCTTCTCTTCTCATCAGATGGCCAAAGTATTGGAGCCTCAGCTTCAGGATCTGTCCTTCCAGTGAGCACTCAAATTATTAAAAGTGTATAAAACAATCACAATATAAAATTAATATTTACACAGGTATTAAAGATTTAAAAGATCCATGCGGGAATGTGAACCCCAGTTTTCCTGGTTCTAGGGCCACAATCTTAATTTAACCAACTGCTTCTTCCCATCAGCGAGTAATTTGTTGTAACCAAACATAGCAGCTGATGAAGATATACTGCTGAAAACCATTGTAGAGCTGGCCTGTTGCCAGATAGCATCACTATTTTTGCACCCCTTTTTAGACAAAAGAAGAAATCTAAGCTTTGTTAAGCCTGTGGTGGACAATTTGGAAGGGATGATAAACTGTGTTTGAATTGGGGGCTGAAACTTTGCACAGGCTGATTTAAAGCACACCAAAAGCCTATATGTAAATAGAATATAGGCGTTACCAGTACCACACTTGCAATAAGCTTCCATGGATAAGCAGGGATTTGAAGGCAGGTATCCTGAGTCATATCCACTTACCACTCTAGGCATCAGAATGTGCAAGAAACATCTGCAAACTGAAGGTGGAGCCTGCAAATAGTATGCACGATATGGAATGTTTAATGCCATTTCCCTTTATTTGGGGAGATTTTATCTGATTTTCTTTAAATCCCTGAACATACGAGGGAAGAACTCGTTATTTCAGATAATGGGCCATGATGTTCTGTACACTTGATGTACTGCATTACAAGAATAAGTGGAATAATGCTGATACATGATCAGACCCATGTTATTGTAATGACTTAATGTTGATAAATAAAAATGAAGAAGTATTGTTGATTTAATTGGATTGATTGGTAGGTACTCTGAGATTTGTGATGCCCTGTATCCTTTGGTCCCAATGAAGGTTACAGAAAAAAATCTCTACCTCCCACATTATTAACAACAAAATCAACAGCCAGGGAGGTACTGTAATGGTATGTTTAGGTTCAGATGCGGTTTGGCCCTTAATGTTTGTAACTGTGACTACAGACTGCAAATATTGGAACACTTTAATCTTCCCCCTCCATCACAGCAGCCGTGGACAGGAATTGCAGCAGGAGACAGCTGTATGGTGTACAAATGGACTCAACTAAGCAGATCATGGTTAGGGTTGCCAGATACATGGGTACTAAAAGGAGGACATAGAAAGACAAAAAGGAGGACAAAGGAGGACATATTGAATGTTTCATTTGAATCATTCCAGATTAAACCCAAAATCAATACAATTTTATTACAATAGCTGCCAATAAATGTCTCTTAGTGAGCCGACCAAGAAACAGTCATGTTAAAAATTAAAAATAAATTAAGTGAAGGCTTTTTTTCAAAATACTGGGGGTAGGCGGGCAGGTGGGGGCGGGGAAAGCCAGACCCCCTTCCCCCTCTCCCCCTCCCATCCAAAATTATAACATAAAATATACAAAAGCCTGACATTTTAAAGGTTTTTATCTTTGCCTGCCTGACGGAGGACATTAGGCTAAAAAGGAGGACATGTCCTCCTTTGGCCTGACATCTGGCAACCCTAGGCATGGTGCCATTGGGCCTTGAGAAGCCATTGGTGAAGGAGGAGTGTGTGAGAGTGAGCCGTCAGTGGTGATAGAGGCTGTAGGAGGAGGAGTGGATGATGAGAATGAGGAAAAGACGGTGACCAAAGGAGTGACAGTTATAAAGGAAACCCAGGAAACCGAATTAGAGAAAAAGGCGGGAAAGTTAGAAGTCTGTCTGGTGGAGGAGGGCGTGAAGGGAAAGGAGGCAGAGCAAGAGGTGTCAGTATGGGAGGAGGAGATAAATGATGAAGGGGTGTGTTGGTTCAGTTCAGTATTGGAAGAGGAGAGAGGAGACGAGAAGGAAGGAGGTTGAATTTGTCAAGATTCAAGGACTGTTGGGAGATTTTCCCAACCTAAAGATGGGAGGATTATTGCCAGACCCGAACCTGAAGGAAGGAAAGCTGGCACACTTCTTGACCCAAGAACTGACCGAGATGGTGGCACCGAGTGAGTTGGAGCTCTGGAGAGAAACTGAAATAGCGAGCAACCGATTCTACGATAAGGCGGTTGAGAGGGGCTGGGTGAGACACTCATGCTGTGGGACGATTTGTGCCCTAAGGAGTACTCCTCCCCGAAGACCGATGTATCAGGAATGGCGTGGGCGAACTCCCCACTGAGTCCCTGGGGATATGGAAAGAGTTTTGGTTCTCCTAGTTATGGCCTGTTGCCAGAATGGATAAGTTTTGGTCCGTTGAATAATGTGCTGGAGGAGAGTGGAAGTAATAAAAGTGACAGTTTGGTTATAAAAAAGTCTTCAATTTTATTTCCCGCCGAAAGCTAGGGGTTGGCCAAAGAAAGTACAGAACCCAATCACACCATTGCCTTGAAGAAAATGCAATGTTGGAGAGGTGGAAGGGAGAATTGTTGAGACAAGTCCCTGCTGGCTGCCTTCCAAAGATACAGGCCAGGACTTTAGACTTTGGACTTTGCTTATCTCTGGCAGGTGCTCTGCAACTTAACCTTTCAAATCCTGGGATGCAGTGGAGGGGAGAGTCAGTCATCGGCTCTATTCTTCTCGGTGCCTGAGACCTCCTGCTTTAGACAGATTGAAGTCTCTGTGGTGAGCAGAATCTTTTGACTTCCTGTTTGTATTTGCCAGATTGTATTTACAAGGCAGGAGAGTGAACGCCACCTAGGCTGCCTCTCCACAAATCTGTTCCAGAGGATCTCTCTACTATGAAGAACAGATAGGGAAGGTGCATGGTGTGGGGGGAGGGAGGGGGAAGGGAAGAGGACTACGGTTGTTTCATTAGGTATTTTCATTCTGCAGCCTGAGAAATCCCATGTGATTGTTTAACGTTGCATGTTAGGATGAGACTTCATGGACATTTACTTTCAAAATAACCAGAGCTTGAGAAAATTGTCCATGCTGGCTGGAGGACTAAAGGAAATGTAGCCTCCAAAACTAATGTTGGTAGGCTTTGAAAATAGTCCACAGTATCACATAGTAATAACTTATCTCAGTTTTTTAAAAAAGCACAGGTAGTTAATGCTAGCAGAGATTGGATATACAAAACAGTAACCTCTTGATAGGAAACTTCATTTAACTTGCAAAAACGCGCAATGAACTACAGTGTCAATATGATAAACTTGGCTTTATAAATCATTACCTTCTGCTGCTCCTTAACCTTTTGGAGGTGGTAAAGTATTCTCCTGTGGGTAGATTGCTGCTTGACAATACCCGAAAGAGAGAAATTAAACCTGGAGGAGCAGGATTGGGGTGTGGGATTTAATTCCCTGCCTTGTTCTTCATCTTGTTTTAGTTCATAGTAAGCATGTGGCTCTGTCTGGCACTGGCCGTCATCCTGTTCTTTGTGATCCGATGGTATCGGGAGAGTCAAACTGTGGAAAACCTGAGAGAAAAATATGTCTTCATCACTGGTTGTGACTCTGGCTTTGGGAACCAGCTGGCCAGGCAGCTGGATCTCGAGGGCCTGAGGGTGTTGGCCGCCTGCCTTACCGAGAAGGGGGCAAAGGAGCTGCAGAGGCTCTCGACTGATCGGCTGAAAACCACTATTTTGGACGTCACCAGCACAGAGAGCATTGTGGCAGCAACCGAATGGGTGAAATCATGTGTCGGGGACAAAGGTACCGTAGACTCCTGTCATTCTTTCTGTATCTTCAGATTGTAGGCCGCAAGATACAATTCATTTAGGAGAAACAACAGCAACAACAAAGAAAGAAAGACGTGTGGTCCTTACACAATAGAAGTGTAAGATAGGTGATACTTTTATTAGACCAGTGGGGGAAAAATCAAACTACTGTACCTGTGACCTTGCATGGGTCAAGTCTGATTCTTCGGACCATGCACCAGTATAGCAGAAGAATTATAAATAAGAGCCCCAAAAATTCATGGCAGAAGTGTGCAAACAGCCTTTGGGGTGACCTTTTGACATTTCACCACTGGTAATATATGGGTGTAATTTTCCACCCAACTCTTCAAACAAAGCGCCACTACTGGGCACAAAATTCTAGCTGGGTGAAATTTGAAACCACAATCCTTTCCAATGCCATTTGCAGCCAACATTTGAATTCACCATAAAAGTCATACCTGGCAGACCTCTACCTGAATTTTGGGGACCCTCACTTATAATTTTTCTACACGAAAGGTTGCAGGTTTGATTTCTTTAGTGGTATTTCCTCTCCTGCATTTGTATTACTGTATTTAGGACACTCCACAATGCGGAGGAGCTACTTCTGTCTCAGTAGTCTAGTTCCTAATGTGGCCAGCAGAGCTTATACTGTATTACAATTTCCCAAGTAAGCATACTGGCCATATTGTTATAAATTCTCAGGATTCTGGGAACTGTATCTCGAAAAAGTAACATTTCCCGACATTGGAATAGCTAAGAGGTAGTTATGGGAGTCATAGCAAGGCAGGAAATTGCTTGTTATCTGACTTGATGTGTTTTATTTATTTAGTTAGTAAGTTAGTTAGTTCAGAGATGGAAAGAGGCAGATTTGGGATTACTGTTCTTCAGAGTTCAAAATAATTTAGTCTTCAGTAATTTGATCAGTACTGGTTAATCTACTGCAATCCTACATGCTGTCAGGAGCAAACCTAATTGAACATAGTTTGATTAAACATGTATAGGATTTTAGTGCAGCAATACTGAGATGCCTTCCAGGGTTTCCTAGACAGAGACTACTCAGAAATTGTTGGTTACACTCTTCTTCTTGGGACATCTTGGGACTGTGCTGTTTGCCCAAGCCTATGCAGGCTGGCTTTTTCCTCAGTGAGCACAGGAGGGAATCGAACTCCTGACACAGATACTCCAGATCACTGAGTTGTCCAGTCAACTGAGATTGTGCTGAAGGCTTCTCCCATTCAGTACTGAATGAAGATATTTCTCACAAATAGTGGGGCTCCCTCCCCAAATGCTGGTAGAGTAACACGTCTGCCTGGTTACGTATGCAGAGCTTGAGCCTTACTTCAGCCATGTCAATGTGGCAAGTATCCTGTTGTCTAAATGTGAAGTAAAATTAGTCACATGAGTATGTCCCTTGCTTGATCTTCCCCTTGGCTCAAAGATTACGTTTCCAGACCTTGGAGCATCTACAGCACAACAAAGTATGTCATTATAAATACTCTCTCTCCCCCCCCATACTTAGCTTCTAGGGTCTGCTTATGTGTCCGGTGCTGTCTGGTGTTATTTAACAGACTTGGTTGCCTTTTCTTTACAGGACTCTGGGGCTTGGTAAACAATGCTGGTGTTGGGAACCCCTCTGCCCCCAATGAATGGCTGACTAAAGATGACTTTGTCAAAGTGCGTATGTCATTATAAATACTCTCTCTCCCCCCCCATACTTAGCTTCTAGGGTCTGCTTATGTGTCCGGTGCTGTCTGGTGTTATTTAACAGACTTGGTTGCCTTTTCTTTACAGGACTCTGGGGCTTGGTAAACAATGCTGGTGTTGGGAACCCCTCTGCCCCCAATGAATGGCTGACTAAAGATGACTTTGTCAAAGTGCTGAACGTCAATCTTATTGGGCTGATTGATGTGACGCTACACATGCTGCCCCTGGTGAAGAAGGCCAGGGGAAGGGTCGTCAACGTGGCCAGTATCTTGGGCCGACTGTCTTTCTTTGGAGGAGGCTATTGTCCCTCTAAGTATGGGGTAGAGGCCTTTTCTGACTCTCTGAGGTAATCTCTTACTAATTTTAACTTCAGACTCATCAAATTGCTATGAAGTACCCATATACCTTTGCAGTCAAAGGTAGGATAGATCAGGTAGTGATATTTTGGTGAGTGATTTTATTAACATATTTGAAACAGAGTTGGGTGATTGAAAAAATTAATTAGCCTTTCAGAACATATTTACACTAATTATTTAATTTCAAGGGCAGTATATTCAAAGCCACACCCTCATCTGACCTATATATACTCCAATTATAAAGAAAAAAGGCCACCCTTCCAATTACACAGAATCTCAGTTACCATCCTACATTGCCTTATAGCTAGATATTTAAGCATTCAGGGCTATGTTTTGCTTCTATCTCTGCATTTATGGTATCTGTAGAGTTTTGCAAAATTTTACCAGTAAAATAAGAATTGTTGTTAATTTATCTTTGATTTAGCAGCCTTTGAAATCTGACTTTTAGTGCACTCCATCAGTGTAACTGGCATTTATCTGTCCTTCAAAGTTTGTAAAAGTTTTTATATTACTAGTCACATCAATCCAATATTTTCCAGCCACAGTTTCTGATGGTTTATAAAACTGATTTGGGAAGGAGGGGGGAACCCTACCCATAATTAGTTGAATCTCTGTTCAGCAATTTGGTTTCAAGACAGGATACCGCTTTTGCACTATGTATGGACTGAAATGAGTGTTACCTCAACTTCTCAACTGGGTTTCAAAAGCCCTATGCAGAGGGAGATAGAAGAAGACAAAATGCCGTGTACGTGTATTTGTATAGGCTTGGTCTCATCTGCTAAAAAGGGGGTATTCTAGAGTAAGAAATAGCTCAGAAAAGGGGAACCCAACTGTGGAATTTTCCTCTGAAGCCCCTATCCCCCCAGGCCTTCATGAGGTTCTCGCTCTTCTTCTTTCTTTGCTGCCACCAGGTATTACTGCTTTAATACCATTTACTCATGGAGACATGTGTGCTTTTAAACCTAAGTCATTTATTAGTCCAGGGAATTTAATATATAATTAATATTCAAGAGAAAAACCACAGGGTGCTAATCACTTATATTTGAATCGAAACTGCTACAACTTTAAAACTCTTTTAACTCTCTGTTCCATTCATCGTTCTTACAGATCTCTAAGTCACTCTTAATTCACATTTAAGTTTCATACAGTCTCTCTCTACCAGAATTTTTCTCCTACTCCATACACCGGTCTATATATCTAGCCCCCTCCCCCCTTAGCTCCGCCTTCTGTCCACTCTTTGGCTCCTTCTCCCCTGCTTAGCTGTGACGGATAGGTGAGGGTAGGGCTGTTTGCTTTACCAACTGACCAGGAAGTGGAACACCTCTATGATGAAAGGTTATAAGTACCTTTGGGATGGATAGCTTAGAAAAACAGATGAGTAAGCAGCACTTTTAAGAAGTGGAGAAAATCATACACAATGTGGAGGAAATGGACAAGAAATTTTACCACTCTTCCACAGTAAGACTAGAACACAAAGTCATCCGCAGATACTGAATGGTGGAATACAGTGGTGCCTCGCTTGACGAGGATAATCCGTTCCAGCGAAATCGCTGTAGAACGAAATCCTCATCAAGCGAAATAAAAAACCCACTGAAACACAATAAAAGCTGGTTAATGCGTTCCAATGGGCTATATACCTCAGTGTCCAGCGAAGATCCTCCATATGGTGGCCATTTTCGGTGCCTGTCTAGTGAGGAATCCATCCTGAAGCACAGCGGGGAGCCATTTTACACAGCGGTCGGCCATTTCGGTTACCCGACTGTGACACCCGTTCCCCGGGTCGTGAGGGGATGTTAGGAGTGCCGTCTCACCCTAGAGCCTCCGTGGGCACCCAGACCGCACCCAAGCCGTTTCCACCCCAGATGCTACACCAGGCAGTGGATACCGTTGATTTAGAACGGGGCATGAAGGGGTTAAGCATAGCTACCCAGACTCCTTTGGTTTGGGCGGGCAAAGGGGTGAGAGATCCTGAGGAGGGGGCTGTGGGGGAAGTCAGTCACCGACGAGCAGGGGAAGAAGGTGGATGGGAATGGGTATCCATCCAAGACCCCTGGTCGGGCAAGTGGGAACAGGTGTGCATGACTAAGCAAGAGGCAGAGGAGAGAAGGAGGAATGAGGCCCGGGTCCGTCCCTCTTACTGGGGAGAAAGAGAGACCCGAGAGTGGCGACGAAAGTTAGTGGAGGAGAAGAAACGGGTCGAGAGGGAAAGAGAGGAGAAGACCCGATGGCATCTGGAGGAGCTGAGGAGGCTGGGGTATCACCCGGACCCTGGGAGCACCTCGGGTCAGCAACAACCTTACCCTGGGGATATACAAGGCTCGAGGAGACGACCCCATTACTAACGATGGAGAGAGAAGACTTCGAACCCGAAGAACCCTCCCAGGTTCAGGCCGGTCCATGGGCATCGAAGTCCAGTAACCCTTTTGACGAAGATTGGGTGCCCCTGTATGAACCGTTACTTCAACAGGAGAAGTTTATCCCCAACCTGATTGACGTTTCTATTCCGTTACCACAGTTAAATAAAGAAGACAAATTGTTTTGTTCAAATGCGTCTACGGCTTTATTTGGGATGGGGGAGGCGAAGAATAGCGGACCCTCACATCAACGATCAGCTGTTTCGATCGCCGTAAAGCGAAACTCGGTTCCCAAAGCAGGGAACCATCATCGTCAAGCGGTTTTTGCTGTTTAAAACATTGTTTAGTGATCGCAAAAGTGATTACAAAAAACTAGTCGTATAGCAATGTCCTTGTCTAGCGAGGTAATCGTCAAGTGGGGCACCACTGTATAAAACACAAGGAAAAGTGAATACACTGGTCTCACTTAACAAGGATAATCCGTTCCAGCAAAATCGTTTCCACGTCGCTGATATCTTTCAGACCGGTTGCTTCTTCTTTTCCCTTCTTTTCTCTTCTCCAAGTTTGTTTTAACCTTCACCCGGCAAGACTCTATTATTAGAATGTCATTTGTCAAGATCCCAGTTCAGTTCAAACCACATAGCCCCTAGTTCACAGCTCACAGTCCGTTTCTTCCTTTTACTTCCAGAGACTTCCTTCTCCTCCCCCGAAAAGGCAGCCGCCGATCAGCTGTGCGAAAAATGTCATTTAACGAAAAATCGGTTCCCGAGGCAAATGCTGTAGCAAACACGAGTCCAAAAACACGTGTAAGCCTGGACAGAGAGCAATCAGGAGTTTGCACATGCTAAAATGGGCTGAATGAGTCCAACTCAGCTAGCCATGATACAACACTCCATCTCACAGGTCTGCCCACATAAGAACACCCTTGTACTCTTAGATATTATTATGAAAAGGTCAAGTGGGCTTTGTAGTCCTTAGACTTAACTTGCACCACTGACAGGACTCTAAGTAAGCTAGGCCGAGGCAGCACTCTCAGATGACCCTATGACAAGTGTACTGTTCAGAAAACCAATTGAGTTTTATAATCTTTATTTTATTAAAGAATAAGCATGTTACTA